TTTCAAAAATGAGAGGAATTAACTGCCCTCTTTTGTTCTTAGGCATTCTTAGGGGTTCTTGTGTTTGTTTTGGTTTTCACTTTGTTAGCACAGATTTCAGAAATACAAGCCAATAGTAACCTAGATGTAACAATTTATTAGCATCACACTTACATTCTCTGGTAATAATTTCCATGTTACAAAGAACATTTCTGAATTGATCTCCAAAATGAGGAGGGTAATATTTTAACCCTAGTTTCAGAGAGATTAAGGTATATTTTCCATAAATTTAATAATTGATTTTTCCCTTAAATCCAGTCTCTGGTTCTTGTTTCATGCTTTCCTCTCAAAGCTTCAATACTTAAAGTATCATGTGCAATCAGAAAACAATTGTGCAATTTTAGAAATCATCTTTTTTCCCTCCAATTTGAATTCTCCCCAAAGTGTCTGATTCTACTGCAGGAATGTCAGCACATTGAGAAACATGTGCCACTTAATAGGCTGGATTTTGCTGAGAACAGAGTATTTGAGATCCTGAAGTTTTTGAAGTTACCAGTCATATTTAATGCACAAGAAGGGTTACCTGAGTAATTTATACTCCGCTATTAAAGTAAAATGTTCAATGATGCTTATCAGCATGTAATAGAGATGTACTCTGAGGCATTTCGAACTTGACTCATTGAGCAAATCACTCTGTATTAGTAACAAAGAGATAACTTTAGAAAGCAATGATTATTTTTAAATACGTATGACACCTATTAACAATACTTTTCTAAACAGCTTCTATTTTATATAATTGAGTTTTAATTTTCTAATTACAGTATCACCATTTATTTACACATATCTTCTAAATATTTTTGGTGTTCTTACTATCTATATATCACTACAGAATGTCTCTCTTCTCATTGCTCTTAAGAGATCAATTTAGGAGCTGGTGCTTAACACACCAGGGAAGGCCACCACTGGTGACATCAGCATCCCAATCAGTGCCAATTCCTGTGCCAGCTGCTTCACTTCTAATTTAGCTCCCTAATTTGCTGGAGGAAGCAAGGGAAGATGCCCCCAGCGTATGGATCCATGCTACCCATGCAGGAGACCTACATGAAGCTCCTAAGTTCTGACTTCAGCCTGGCCCAACCATCACAATTGGGTACAAAAAAACTGGAAGATTCCTGTCTCTCCCTCTCTGTCACTTTATCAAATAAATAACTCTTTTTTAAGACAAGTTCAATTTGTAAGTAAGGCCAACCAACACACTATAATTAATATAGAAAATGCATTAAAGAAAATGAATTCTTCTAAGTGAATTAAGTAAGTTTCTCCTTTTTCAACTGAAATTATGTTTGTCAGAAAATCACTTCAATAAAATGAGTTTTAGCGCTCAAGCAAAGCTCTATTGGGCGTTGAAAGTTAGTAGCTCCTTCCACTGTGTTTTCTCCAATATTTTAAGAAAATATAAATTTTAAGTGTGTTATGATACATGAAACTTCATGTTACTTTTCCCAATATTTTGTAAGTTCCTTAAGCTAGCCTCATATGCACAGCATCAACAGTGCCTAGAACACACATCTTCACTAAAGACAAAATCAAAATATTTTATGCATGTACCAAATTTATAGGACATTTCATATCCTATATAGTACTTAAAATATGGATTTTGGAAGCCAAGAATTAGTGGAGAATTAATCAAGTTTCTGAAGCTATATTTCCTTCAGATTCTATTGTGCTATTTTCCTCATCCACAATTCTACAACCATTCTAAAAATCTCACTTTGGCGAACAGTTACTTAGTATCTTCTCTGGAGAATTTGCTACTTGCTGAATTCATACTCCTAGTTTATTACAGTGTCTCATATAAAAGTGATGTTGACACCGGTATCATCTTACTTCATCATTTTCTTTACAAAGACATTTTTAGATTTTAATATCTACAGTAATTTTTATTAAAATGGCATTCTGGACAACATTTTGAAAACAGAAACAATTGGGCATGTTCGTAATTTGCAGGCAAGCCTAAAAATATTTTAAATTCACTTTGCCTGATAAATGAATAAACTCTTAAAAGGACAGATATACTCTAATTCCACTCCTGGATCTTTATAATTTCATATTAAAAAAAAATGTGAGGGACATTATAAGATTTTACCCCTCCCTGTGTAGAGGGTTTTTTAATGGTCAAATTTCCATGGTGACCTCAGATTAGAATGTTTTTGAATCCAGAAGCCTAAATACTTTAGATGAGAAATGAGTGAGTTTGCAGGCCACATAAAAGTCAATACAAGCTATATTTTATCATTAGACAAAATTGACTGAGTCAGTACTCTCCAGATCAAATCCAAAAAAAAAATATGGCTGGGAAACAGATTTGGGTTATAAAATAGCAACTGTTATCCAGTCACACTCCACGTAAACACTCCGATATGAGGGAAAACACAGAAGAGGGAAATGTGACATTTTCTTGACTTGTTGCACTCTTGTTATCTAGAACATGTAAATAATGGAAACAACAGCTGAATTAAGTGAGATAAATCGTGATTTCCTCTTTCTATTCTACAAAACCTTGAAAAAATATAAGATTATTGTCTGGGTAGGGATTCATTTTGACTACCTGTTTGCTCTCCTAATTAGCAAGTATCTCCTATTTTCCAGCTTTGAGCAGAGAGAAATGAGCCCATTTTGTGCAATGAAATAACATTCTACATTTATTTTTTGTAAAGAGATTCCACTACAATTATTTCTTCAAATTTTAGTAATGAAAAACTTTCATTCATAGCATCCTAACCCTTTTGAGTAAAATCTCACACTGTTATCAAGTTACCAACATCTAAAACCAGGTAAAATCTATGCAGTTTAATTTTACTGCTTTTCTGAGGTTGTGACCATATGCTCTTTCTATTCAGTTTCCAAATTTACTCATTCATCTTTTGTATTCAACCCTTTGAAGGCACAATGTTTTTGTTTTTCCAAACCATGAGGACATAACAAAAATGTTGATACTGATGTAGGAAATGAAGGGTTTTAGTTCATGAACTCGCTGCCCCAGCGCTTTATAGCCATATAAAACTATACTGATGGGATTAGTACTCAAGGTTATGCCAGTGCACAGCTCTGAAGATTTTAAGTATGGAAGCTGCAGGTATTTCCATTGCCCTAATCACGGCTGCTCAGTTACTCTGAAGGAACCTTTACTAGGAATATTCAGTCTAGGCACGGATTTCCATTTCTTGGGAAAATTTGAAACTTAAAATATTCCAGTTCTTGAATTCCACTATTACAACCTGTGAATCTCGAACACTATGAAACAGGAGGAGTCAACAATGGCATATTCCCTTTATTAAAAAGAATAAATTGGGATAAATTTTATGACTAGAGGATAAGAACACTGACATATCCTTTACCAGCTTGTATCTAACACATAAACAAGCACTTTACACGGAGTTGAGAAGGCACTTTCAAACTTGTCAAGGAAGTTTGCTTGTTCTTTTGTACAATAAAAGAGCTCCATTTAATTCTAATAAGTTCTGTGTTGAAAAATTCAGGCAGATCATAAGAGAACACATCCAAGATCAGTTTCCAAAGAAAGGCAATGTAGAGTAACACCGAGTGGGCCTGGCATGGTAGCCTAGCAGCCAAAGTCCTCACCTTGTACACACTGGGACCCCATGTGGGCGCCGGTTCTAATCCAGGCAGCCCCACTTCCCATGCAGTTCCCAGCTTGTGGCCTGGGAAAGCAGTCGAAGATGGCCCAAAGCCTTGCAATCCTGCATACACATGGGAGACCTGGAAGAGACTCCTGGTTCCAGATCAGCTCAGCTCCAGCCATTACAGCCACTTGGGGAGGCAATCAACAGATGGAAGATCTTCCTCTCTGTCTCTCCTCCTCTATGGGTGTCTGACTTTTCAATAACAAAAAAAAAAAAGAAAGAAAGAAACAGAATACCGAGTCTGCAGACATTTTCTATAAAAAGACTAGACCATAAATAGTTCAGGCTTTGTGAAAGCAGTAGTTTGTCATAATATTTCAACTTTTCCTTTGTAGCAATATAAGCAACCATAGACACTATGTGAATAAATAAGCCTGTCTGTGTTTTGCCGTAAAACTTCACTTACAAAATGAAGCATCTTGCCCATTTTAGCTGAACTAGGGCCCATTTAGACAATGGTGTGCCTACCCTTAACCTAGGAAAATTTGCATCCTGAATAATAACATTTATAATCTTTATTTAGCCTCCCATTCTATTTTATATCCAGGCACATATTAATACATGCAAACAAGTATCTTAAATGATAAGTTATATACTTCACTATTTATCACTAAATATCAATTTTAGTAATGTTATCTTGATGAAGGATATGCACAAAAACCTGTATTACTTTACATGTAATATTTAGGGGACAATGGGAATTAATTGGGGGGAACAAGTTAATTTTCTTTTTTATTTTAATTGTGGGTGGATTCTTATGTAAATCAAGAGCTCAGAACCATTTATTTCTTTACTATTTCAATTTCTTTTAGAAGGCTATATATAATTGTTAATGAGAAAAGTTTTATACCTATAACCCTCTTGGGTTTTATACTTATAGCCTTTTTGCAAATATTGAGTTATAATGAATTAGTAGTTTAGACTTTAACATTTTCATTTCTTTATATAAAAAGTATAAATTTCACGTATCTCACATATAAAGAACCTAATTCCCATCATCCTTTTCTTTGCTCCTCCTTATGCATATTTCTTTTAATTTTTTATTTGCCATACTTTCAATTTACTTCATGATCACAAGTTTAATCCTCCATTAAATAGAGAATTCTAGAACTTAAAAAGACCTTGTGAATTTATTTGCAAGTAGTCACATTTTATGCACACACACATACTTTTTGGATGATTGCACCGACTCAATGAAGTAGTAAAGCTTTAACTTTCAACACTGAGGTCTTTTTCTTCTCAGCTGACTATTTTGTTTTATAATGACAGATCTTGATAAGTATGAAATCATGTGAATGTTACTTTCTCTTACTATAGCACCCGAAGAATGGGCCACAACCCGCTCCAGCTTGAAGGCACCACCACCAAGGGCAGCCAGAGGGGGATACAGGGAACACCCCTATGGTAGATATTGAAGGGTCCTCCTCAACTGTGACCTCAAAGACAGTTCATAGCCTGTGGTCTTCACACAAACAGCAACAAGACAAGTAATAGTCCTTTTGTTTGTTTTTTCTATTCTAGGGATAACTGCTCATGATTGCTCTCATATTTCTTGTTATTTCCCTCTATACTATTGGCGTGACATTAACAGACTATTTTACAAAACAAACTGAGAAAGACATTGGCAAGCATAGTCTATTAACCCTTCAATAGGAAGATATTTCCTTGGTTGCTTTTCCTTGTTGTGTAATCTTATTGTTTTTTGTTTGTTTTGTTTTTTTTTTTTAATGAAAGAGCATGAATCTGCTCAAAGATTGAGTCAAAATCAATTAGCCAAATTTTGTTTAGGGCTGCTAAAAGATTGTAACATGACTTTTGAACTAGCTGATAATAAAGTTGTAGATAAGATGTTTTAATCTGTCTTAACATCTGTTAGCTAGATGAGGATGTTCGATATTCAGTTTGTAAATTTAATTTTAAATGATGCTTTAATGGGGTTGAAATCAAGTAGCTACTGTAATGTATGTAGCTTACTGAATTTGTTCAGTGTTTTAACCTGTATTTGTAAAAGAAAAAAACACACATAAAGTTCCATGTGTAAGCTTCTCTAAATAGGAAACCACATTTTGTCAAATATGTTTGCCATAATTTGTCAATAAAGCTGAAAACTTTTGTAAAAACTAAATTTGGAATTACTTGTTTTTTAGCTTTAAATGCCTGCTTTATTTCTTCTTCAAGAGATGCCTAAAATGTTTTCTATTTAAAAATTACAAAAATGAACCCAAGTTTGTTTTAAGATATTTGTGTAATACTTAAAAATGTATTAATAACTTATGGTTGTTAAATAACTTAAAAGTTAACAAACTAAACTGTTACATGAACCATGGTTAGTAAAGACTAATGTATAACATGTTAATGGAAAAAACTGGATTTAGAATAATAAATGGATTTTAAACTATCCTCTAAGCTTTATCTTGCTAAACACAAATTCTGATTGACTTGTTTGCATTAGCATGTCTCTCGTGAGAAAAGAGTAATGGAGTATAAAGAGGTAAGATTACCACTTACCACTGTCTAAATGCCTAGTTCTTCAACCTTTGAGTTTCCCCGCACATTAAATATCCCATCCAACATGTAAGCATTGCGTAGATTCACTTTATTGTTTTCACTCAAAAGAGTGTGTGGACTTCATTTGCGTAGTTTATAACAATTTGTTTTGACAACCAAATCATCAGTGTCACTGGCTAGTTGTTGCTATTCAACCTCAAAAACTTTATTTGTAATTTTCAGTGCTAAATATCACCGCCCTTGAAGGCAGTTTAGAGGGCTGATATTTCTTTTGAGACTATCAGACTTGATGGCAGATGCTTATTAAGGAAATATGTCGCAGGACTCAAAGGATGACTAAACGTTAAACAGGTAACACTAATAGTAACTCTGTAATTTTGCCTATGTAACAGTAATGTTAAATATTCTCAGTTATTAAGTTCCTGATAGTTAAAAAAGTAAACCTACAAAAACATAACAAATAGGTCTATAGGCTTTTAAAACAACTAATTTAACATTAACTAGAGGCATCCAAATTATTTTACAATACATAACCCTCAAGGTAATAAACAGAACTAAAATTAACAATAATAGTAATGCAACTCTTGCTAACATCAAAACTAAGCTAAATTTTGATGGAAAACAAAAAGAAAGTGAAAAAAACTTGATGGTAGGAATCAATACCAAAACTGTTAATCTTTTAAATACAATTTTTTTGTTTACGGTGGCTTTTTGTCAATGTGATTGGTTTACTTTTTTGCTGCTAACCGGATTAGGCACATTGCTGTTCAGTTTTTGCAGCTGGAGTTGCATGCTAATAGTTTTATGAATTGTGTGTCTGTCATTGATTGATACTGTATATATTTGACTTTTACAAAATGCTGTTGTTATATTTAGTTTTGTTTTTTGTTTTTTTTTTTTTTTTGCTATTCTTTCTCCCCATTCTAGGTACTCAGGAGTAAAGAACAGAGTGAATAGCAGCTGTGATTGGCTAAGAAGTTTGGAGGTAACAGACTTGATTTTTGTCTTGAGATACATAGATAATCTTTGCCAACGCTGTATGAGGTTACATGAAGCTATATCAGTCAGCTAAAACACCGAATGCTGCTTGTAGAAACACTAGAAAGGCTTTGATTTTTGTCAAGAACTGAATTTTTTACCTGATTTAAAATGCATTTACATGACAAGCACTAGGTTATTCAGAGACATATCAAAGCAAATATGAGTTAATAATTAACTTTTAACCTTTCTCTATGCAATAAATGACTATACTTGCTGTTCTTAATTGTATGGAGTATGAAAATGTTCATTCTGCACATTCTAGAGAACTGTATCATAATTCACTGGCTCCCATAAAAGGAAGGAATAGGATACCATGTAGAATTGCATATTCCCTATCAATCAGAGACAATTAAAATGAAAACCACCTTCACTTCTCCCACCCAACATGGCTCAACCAACATGGTTTTTGTTTGTTTCTCATCATCATTCTATTTGATTGGACAATTACTGAGTACAGCACACCATGGAAATTCTGAGTTGATTTACATAACAAAGAGTTGAAAACTTTTGCCCAAAACTTTAGACCAATGACAGTTATGGAGTCCACAGGCTAAACAAGAAGAATTGAAATGAACTGGAGTGCTGTTTGAAAGCCAAGTTATCTCTTTCTGGGTCTGGTCCTCTTTTATTAAACAAATATCCATAATAAATATTGACATTAACAAGGTGCTGGGAGGGGAGAGGGCAGGCATTTTGGCATATCCAGTTAGGCTGCCTACCATGCTATCATCTCATATGGACACCGGTTTATGTTCTGGTTGCTTGATTTCCAAACCAGTTCCCTGCCAATGGTTTGGGAAAGGCATTTGGAGAGGCCTAAGTTTTTGGGCCATTATCACCCAGTGGAAAATCCAGGAGAAGCTCCTGGTTCCTGGGTTCCATTGGCCCATCACTAGCCTTTGTGGCCATCTTAGAAGCAAGCCAAAGGAAAGTAAGCAAAAGGGAAGAGGGAAGATTGCTCTGTCCATGGCTCTCCCTTTGTAGCTCTGTCAAAATAAATAAGTAAAAATTTTAATAGTGCTTGAATAGTTTTGAAATAATCAGATAGTTCTGAAAGACAAAAAGACCAGAGACTAGGGAGTCATTACACTGAGCATAAATGAAAGCTGTTAATTCACCATATGGAAGGGTGTATGTTCTAGGGGAAGTGCAGAGGACATTTCCATTTGTGGAACTGGAAGAGTCCAAGTGTCTGAGAGGAAAGAAAAAGAGAAGGCCACCAGTGGGCCACATGCACAAAGGCACAAAATAAAAGCAAATTCTGGAAAGGTAGGTTCAAGACAGGTTCCAGTTGTCACCAAGTTCTGTATCTCATGGTTTTACATCTAGGAAGTTACTTTAGGCTGAATCAGCGACTGAGAACCAATCATAAAACAGTATCCCAAGGAATTGAAATAAATCTCATTTAACAATTTTATAATGAATAACTACCTCTTTGAGATAGCTTTTCTAAAATCCAACTAGTTAAAACAATCCCCTAATAGCATGTGCTTTAATTAAAGCCTCTATCTGCAAAATCAAATGTCCAAATATGTAGAATATAAAATTCCAATTTTAGCAGTAACATTTGCTATCTAATTTGTATTTACAAAAATGTTAGTTTTCATAAAAAAAAAGAGAAAAAATCTCTAATCCAGATACTTTTCTTCTTTCTTCCCCTTCATCCTTTCCAAATGGTAGACTGGATATTATAAAATAGTTTGGGGGGAGGACTCACTGGCTATTCCTGCTTGGGCATATTTATCACTATGATTTTCTGCTTGCTGCATTCATTTAATGCAACTTATGTTTTTAAAAGTGTTACGACAACTCAGACTAGACTGTTACATGCATTAGCTTACTGCAGGGTTATCATGACATAAATGCTAGTTCTGAACAAGAAAACATTGGTTTTGAAACTCAAAAATAAGTGGAGTTTAAAGTTTCAAAAGCCTGATTCTTGTGAAATGCAAGTATTGAACTTTGGATACAACAGGTTTTGGGTAAAAAGCAGATTTAAATGACTGTCATCCACTTGTTCTTTAAACTTCTACAAGATAAGCAGTAACCTAAGACATCAGCTTAAGATATTAGCGTGACCTTTGAATATGGGTTTTTATAGCTAAGTATTTTTAAAGGCTTATTAATTTTAAAGGCAGAGGAGGAGAGGGAAGGGAATGGGAAGAGAAAAGAGGGTTTGGACTATCCCCCACTGTTTGCCCAAACATATTAGCTGGATTGGAAGAGCAGCAGCTGGGACTTGAACCAGCATCCACATAGGATGCCCATACTGCAGGCTGCAGCTTTACCTGCTGCCTGCTACATCTTAGTGCCAGCCCTCATACTAACCACTTTAAACACAAGCTTAAAGCACAAGGAAGACACGTCTAGAGGGAAAGTCAGAAAGCAGCGAATCTGAATTTCCCACAACAGTCTGAGTCAGGTGCTGCCTGATAGAAGTAGCTACATAATGTTTCAGCGTTTTGGTAAGAGAGGAGCTGGGATGGCAGAGAGCATCACACATGCACAAATCCAGCACCGCAAGACATGGTGGGTACAGGAGCATGCTGCAGGACAAGCTGATCAAGCTGCACAATTAGCAGCAGCTAGAACAACATGAAAAGGTAGGGAGACAAGCTGTTCCCTGACACAAAAACCCACAGGGCTTGAATGTAACCGTGGAACAGAACGAACAACAAAAAAATGTGCATTTGACAGAATGAGGACTTAAGCCTGAAATCAGGTTGATGTATACAAAGTCATAATTAGATCAATAAGGCACATTTACTATATAATTAAAACAACCAGAATTTAACATAGTAGGTTTGTCTATTAAGAAATGTGAATTTTTCTAAAATTAGTATCCTTTCAATACAAACTTTAGAATGAAAACCTTTCAGCAAGGGGTACTAAGTGAAAAAAACGCATGTGCAAAAGCACCCACTTTTTGTCAGCACCAGAAAACGCTCAAATTGATGGCTCCCCCAAAATATGTCTGATACACACCTTATGCAAGCTATATGAAATTTTTCATGATAAATTAAACTTGTTAAAATACCATCAATTCTAAGTTAAAATTATTTGTGTGCATGCTTTCTACATTCTTTAAGATTGCACTGTAGTTATGAACTCATTAAAATACAAAAACACTTGGGTAAAAATCAAATTATTTAAAATACTAATAAAAAGAACTTGCATGTTCTAACATATTGGTCACTTAATACCATGTCAATTAATTTCTTGATGTTGTAAATTGTTGTTGAAGTTGTGTAGTGGCTTTTTATTGGAGGGGAGGATATTCTGCCAGCTCTACCTTCAGACCAGAGATGGTCTCCCAATGAAACTGCTGAATTTATCTGGACAGTAAGATGGTGGATTCTCTGCATGGTCCATGCCCGCAATGAAGGAATCATGACTTGATATGAACTGTACTACTGTAACAATATGGAGGAATTCAATATGGGGGGAGGGCTTTTTGAAGGGGTTGAGGGAATCCCAGAGCCTATGAAGCTGTCATAAAATGAAATAAAAAACACATAAAATAGTAATAATTAGTCCTATCTATGTTTGTCTATCAAAATGCTTTACTAAACTCAAAATATGATTAAATCCCAACTCATCTGATGCTGCTTATAACCCAAATAGTGCTTTTTAAGTCTTGCTTGTAAAATTGAACCAAAGTTTCCTTGAAGCACTGGCAAGTTTTCAATGATGTTAGCACAAAATAACATGAAAAGTGCTTAGCAATTCTTTGAAATGAAATCTTTTTTTAACTATCATTAAAATATTACTGTTGCTATTTTATTTCTTCACTTAAAAGTATATTCATACAGGATGGTTTGAAAACCACCTATGTTCTTTTAAAGTACAA